TATGTGTGTGTGTGTATGCAATATGGATATGTATATATATATATATATATGTTCATGTATATGTATATTTGCATATGTGTATATGTATATATATATATGAGTATACGGATATGTATATGTATATGTATTATGTATATGTATATGTATATGTATATGTATATGCATATATATGTATATGTATATGTATACGTTTATGTTTATGTTTATGTTTATGTATGTATATGCATGTATATATATGTATATACATATTTTAATGTATGTATTTACAAATATATGCATATATGTATATATGTATGTATATATATGTATATATGTATATATGCATACCCCCTGAATAATCAACAACTGATCTCTTTTTTCTCAGGGGGCTATGATATGTATTTGTTTATATCCCTAAAACCCTAAAACCCTAGAATCGCAAGTAGAAGCGTCAGACATAAAACGGGTCGCAGGCGAGAGTCGCAGGCATAGTGGTCGCAGTCGAGAGTCGCAGGCATAATAGTCGCAGTCGAGAGTCGCAGGCTTAGTGGTCGCTCATAGTAGTCGCTGTCTTAAATAATCTCGTTTGTTAGAGTCCTCGAGTCTCGACTTCTCGAATCTCGACTCTTAGACCCAAGTCTCAATTGACGAGTCTCGAGCCCCGTCACTCTCGACTCCTCGAGAGTCGTAAGTCGAGAGACCCGGGCAGCGGTCAGGCGGGCCAGCCTGTCACACTATTGTTTTAAAAAAAAACATTTTACTCGCGCACACATCATATGGTAATTGGCAGGTGCCAGGCCAGGGCAGCCCTTGTATGAATGTAGGGCCGTATGACTGAAGAGTGGTAAAGGCTGGCTGGCAGGCACCAGGACTTTGGAGAATGTGTAAGACTGCCGCCATTACCTGATATTGCCTACATCACGGCTGCTTGCTATATCTCACTTCCTTAAGCCATATATTTACACCTGCCACACTTCATAGCATACGCTAATAAGCCTGTCTTGATCACACAAGAAGTGTACAAAACGAAAGGTTTAAGAAAAGGGGATCGGACATGAAATCGTTTTACAGCCTAAAATTCATTCCTAAATCCTAATACAGTCCCTAAATAAAATTTCTTGTGTATATCTTTTTTTTTGATATACTAGTCCGACTCCCATTCACAGTCACCCAACTCCCACCAATCCACTATACATATGTACTTATTTTATTTTTTGTTCAAAACAAAACAAAAAAAAAAGGAAATACACTTCCAAAAAAACATTTTAAAAAAATGACCTCACACCAGCAGTTGGTAATTTATTCTATAAAGATTGGTCAAAAACGAGAAATTATTTTCAAATATGGTGGTATTTGAAAAGTTTAAAAAAAAACAAATATAAACGAGAAAATTTATTGTACATAAATAAATACCATACACCGTCCCAAATTGTATTTACACCACAAGAAACAACATGCTTGAAGGCTTGAACCTTGAGGCCTTGAGCCTTGTCGAAGCCTCCAATTCCCGCGATTGTTTCATGTCTGTGGTAGTCTACTACGGTAGAGCAAAAGTCAAACAGTAAACAGAACACTCTTAACTTCTTGTGAGTTGTGACTTGGAGTTGGACTCTGGAGATTCTCTCTAGAGTTAAGAGTATACTCGCTGGGGTATGGAGTATGTGCTAACTGGACTCTGAATTTTGGACGCTGGACAATTGAACATTATCATAGCGTTCTAAATCATACATACAACATTATGGCAATTGGCAAGTATTTATCACTTGTTGTGAGTGAAAATAGCCCGACGTGTCCTAAATCCCTAAATCCTAAAATCCTTATATACATGTGTGTACTATAAATTTTAGAATGTTAGGGTTTAGACTTTAGCGGCATTGCGGCACATGCCGGACCGCCTCACATATATATTAATTTTGTTTTAAATGAAACAAAAAATTAATTTGGGTTGCTTTTTTAAAACGTGTTTGTTTTGTTTTGTTAAAAAAGAAAAGAAAAGAAAAGAAAAGAGAAATGCCTGATTGCCTTCAGGCTGGACAGGAGCGTGTAACTATTTTTTTTTAAAAGCAGCCTTTTCGTCGCCCTCTCTCCTCTCGATCTCTCGTTGAGACAATGTCAAAAAAACCAGTACAGTATCATGGAATCAGTAATCACGCGATTCAAACGATACGTATTTAAAAAAAAATAGGACTCGGGGGCAGGGCCCGTGGTAGCCGCAGGGCCGTCAGCCGACCGGACAGACTGACAATTCAAAGTGACAGTCCGACAGAGTAAGTAATATATTTATATATCCCTTTTGAAAAAAGCAATCGGTCATCAGTGATCAGTCTCTCAAACTGCTGATGGTGAACTTGTGACTGGTGAGCAGGCCTGGGGACTGGTAAATATGAAGGCATGTTCAAGTATTTGTAAATACGTAACCAACCGTTCATAATACGTAACGTGCAGAATATGATGTATTTGAATTTCGGCATAAATAATATTTCAAATTTTATAACCCATATTTCATAATATGGATGTCCCAAATATTTCATATCCATAAATCCCAAATTTGCATATTCCATATTTTGAGGTCTCAACAGTGCCTGACTTGACAATTTCTAATGCGGTAACGCGAGCTGTGGCTACTTTTTTTTTACAAATACAAAAAAAGGAATCCTATTTTGTATTTAAAATAAAATAAAAATAAGCATGATGCATATTAAAAAATACAACTCCAGCAAGTAAATATTTATTTATATTGAACACACTTGTCTTCGTCTATATTTGGTTACATTCTGTTATCTGTATGACTTGACTTTACGAGTATGTGTTCAGAATGAGAATGTGTATTGCAGTCTGCAGTCTCACTGTATATCAAGAGATGTGTGAAACAGGGAACTGTATAGTCTAAACAAGTATATTGTGATTCATTCCCAATTTCTCACACGTCATGATTGCATATTTTGAAACCAACCGCAGAATAAAAATATATCATACACACAACCATGATCCATGTCAAATATCAGCTTTACTGTGAGAAGTCTTAAGCCTGCCTTTATTTCGCCTGCCTCCTCGCCTGCCTTATTCGCCTGCCTGCTCGCCTGCCTTGTCCTTATGTCTGCCTTTATGCCTGCCTTGGTGAGTAAATACATTTACTTTGATAACATGGGATTTATGGTGTATATAGTTATTTAGATTATGAACTGCGTTGTGCATAATAAGGATTGCGATAGGTCAAGTGGTTAGGGAGTTGCGCTTGATATCGCAAAAGCTGTAAGTCCAATTATCACTGTTGGATAATTTTTTTATCTATGATTGTCAATCAAAAGTTTGATCTCATTGTCCTAAAAAGTTGTGGCGCGAATTTTAAATTGCTGTAGTCACATTATTTCTATAGCACACACGGACACAAAAAATAAATTCATACTATTTAGGGCCATATTTCTACGCAAACGCAGCATTCCTCTCAGCGTCTTGTGTAGTAGGATATTCGGGTGTATACTTCACTTGCTAGTATCTGATCGATGCCCTGTTTTACAATGTGACAAGTTTAAGTCGGTATCACGTAAGTATATAAATGGGTTAGTTTAAAAGCATATAGTTGATATAAATTTAGCTATAAAGAAGCCAATATCTGATGTATCAAGGAGTGATAGAGATCGAATGCATCATAATTGTATAAATAGTTATGTAAAACTAGTCTAGCTCGAGTAAATAGTAAAACAATAGCCAACTGACGCGCGTGTACTCACTCGCACATACGGTGAGGTTTATTTACCTGTAATATTGGGCCACTTTTACGGTAGCAAAAGGGGCCTTAACTATCAGGAATTTTGGTTATATACCATAAACTATAATTAATATTATTATTCCGACCAGAATTGTCGTAGTTTGGTACATTTATTTTTTATTTTTTTATTTCTTGAATTTTTGAATATATTTTATTAAAAAATGAATGTATTTAGGTAGCTAGTGGGTAAAAAACTCACCAAGGCAGGCATAAAGGCAGGCTTAAGACTTCTCCTTTACTATAGATCGGCTCATTTGATCACTATCCCGAATCCGGCATGATACCAGAAACCCGACTTGATTGTTTATTTTTAACTTCAATACAGCACCTAAATTACGCTTTCTGACGTCATTTCAAATGTTCAAATCACGGATCCAATATCGAGCATATCACATCATACACTCATAAAATGGCACTTTTGTAGGAGACTATATATATTTTTGAGATCCTTTTAGGTGTGCACTATTTTGGGTACGTTGAAATAACATACCCAGAAGTCAAACCCAAATCGATGTGCGACGTGCGCATGTAAATTCCTACTAGGTGCTCTACTGACATTGAAGTTAGAGAGGACGAAGATGCACGCGACGGCAGTATCCCTAATTCTCGGTAGTTGTTTTCACACCCATTTGACTTCGCGTATATACCAGTGCAAAGACAAATGGTAAATATCTCACGGCCCAAGGTGGTTTATTATTTACTCCAAGGACACCCTTTAACTAATTCCACTAAAATCCTCATTTGAAATATATATATTTGTCACTTCCTACAACGACTTTGAGACCAGTACCTCACGCAATACACGCAGTGATAGGCTTCTGCACTGCTTTGCGATGTTCGGCTGTCTATGCCGTTGACTTGTGTCCAAGTTTCATCCTCATTCATCGGTTGCCTCCTCTTGTGCTGCCATTTATTGTTCGGCGGGATAATCCTGCCCACTGACCTCGTAGTCACCGACCTGTTGGCGCCATTGCTCCTCACTCATCTCTATATCCTGTTGTTCAAAGTTCAGCACCACTGTTTTATCTGTAGAGGCTGTATTGTTGGTAAACACACACGTGTCTTTCATCGTCAGCTTCGCGTCCGCTCCCGTAAACTCATACAAGTTCGATATTAGTCCTCCCCGGCCGTCACACAGATTGTTCCGAGCGATCGCATCTACAGTCAGACGCCCGAGCACATTGTTGGTAGCTATCATGGCTCCTCTTCCGTTCTCAACGGTATTCTTCTCATACACACCATATATGCCGCACTGGGTTTTCGCCGTGATATCACGGACGCGTACAGCAGCCCCCCTACCACCCCAGCCGCCATCGACAGCGTGATTAGCTGCGAGAAGTGGTAGATTTGGATTTAACAGAATGTCAACTATTGTTTGCGAAGCTTGGATAGTACTATATCTAAAAATTGGTGTCTGTCTACGTATCGGTAGCCGTTCGAGACTAGTGTAAAAAAATGCTGGTTCCAAAACGATATATTTGTTGCGCGCAATATTTGAAGACGACATATATATTATAT